CAGACAGCTATGACCGATCAACGCTCAATAAATCTCGACTGTCGTTCGCCAACAGCTGCCACGGACTACGACGACAAGTCGCCGCCATCGACACTGTTTCCTTGACGCGATGATATTGAACGAGGTACCGAGGCGATGATCGAATGGAGGGAAAAGATGCGAGCCGCTCGAAACACCAGAGAGCTCAAATTACAAACGGACGACAGGCAGACATTTTAAAAACTGTTTACAATCATTCGAAGCTTCAAAACGTGTTCACCTGTTAATAAGACGGTATGGAGGAAAGAATGTTTTAGTACGTCACTTTGACAATGAGGGAGGAGTGAATCTGCTGGGGAAAAAATTCACTGCTGCGAGAAGCATTTCGACAGAAAAAATATTTATTATCAGACAGCAAAACGATATTATACAATATGACCAGGTTTCGATGAGACCATTCAGTTGCCTGCACCCAATCAGTCAAAGCCTGATTCTCTGTGTGACCTGGTTTTGCCGTGTGTGGCGATAAAACTTCATTCTTATTAATGAGGGAGAAGTGACTACGATTTTCAGCGGTAACAACTTTGCCGTTGCCATTGTAATGCGCTGACCTTTTACACTAGTGACCAACGGACCAGCAGGTGTTTCATGGCGTGTCATTGGTGTACCGCATTCGCAAGCACTCTGGTCGTTGAAACGGCCTCGATTGTACATGATAACCTCAGACCTGCTGACCTTTGTTCGCCGACGACCATTTGCCATTTGGTTTCACGCTTAGGAAAGAATTTTCGGCAGGAAAAATTTTGCTGTCTGAGGGACAAGGAGGCTAATTTTCAGACACGACTGTGCCTCCATCATTTCATGAAGCCAGGGCAAAACAAAATCAGATCACTAATCGTATTCAATTGACAATCAATGAAAGCAATTTCATTGAAAGACTATCTCGTAATACGACAATAATTGCCTGTAAACCAAAACGTACAACCATGATTCAAGCGCCATTGCTTGTAGAAAAATCACGAGCCGGTTTGGCGGTACCTGAGGTTGTTGACAATCCTGACTGATCGACTTACCCTATACATCAGCGGACCGTGCGATAAAACTACCGCCATCAAATCGTTTCCAGCAACTAGTGGACGCGGATGATTTAAAACATCAATGTTAAAAGGGCTTTTAGGATCAGACATCAGAGTCCGACTCGTGGACGCAGAGTAGAGCATACTCGTTGACTGCTAATCGTAAAATACGGCATGGAAACACATGGACTGCATGAGTACGGCGGAGTACTCAGTAGCTCAGTCGTCCAGTCAGACTGAAACTTCGAAACGAAACTAACCGGGTAAAGAAGGACTCGATAATCAATAATAATAATTGTAGCACCAACCCATACTGAGCTAAAAAACGTATGCAATCAGTTGTCCATGATAAGCCCTCAGAAGTCTTGCTAAGCTACTGTGACACAGTTGTCATTAAGATTTATTTGCTTGATCAACTAGCATTCAGCAGTCATGTCAGGAATGACTCCATTGTTTTTTGAAACATTTTATCTCAGTAGATGAGGAGATTGAGGAATGAAAGTTTGCCCTGTTAGACAAACTGGTTCAGCATCAACGATTTACTCCAAGACATGGCAGACAACGATCAGGAGGCCAGCATGCAACAAGGAAGAATGACGGAGGGGAGATATGCTTTCAGACGAATCGGTCAGCTCCTACGCTGCAGTAGGAAAGTGCTGAAAAGCTGTGGATTCAGTACAGACGTTCTGCTTGTGAAAACGATTCAAGGTAATGATCAATCACACCAAACACATCCACAGCAATCACAGGGAGATCACAACACTTCCACAATGGCTTTGTAAGTCCGGCATCAAGTCATCCTAGGGGAGGGAGATCTAGCGACCTTTTCCAGCCCCGTGGGTACCAATCGATGTTAACAGCTGTCCATCGGTGATCAGTGAACTGAGCCACGTACAAAGCCGGTCACACATTTTGTTCCAGTTTTACACGATGGCGTCTTTACCTCTGATCTGCTGTCTGATTTCTGCAATCCAGTGCGAAATGATTATGCCATAAAATACCCAATATCACTTGATAGCTAAACTTCGTAACTGCTTATGAATATCTCCCTCTATCCTCTCGAAAAGCCAGTAGGAATGAAAGTTCGGCCTCCAACAGGGAAGAGGGACTGTTGACTGTTCAAGTTTGGGCCGACCTACGTTATAACCAAATAAGCGAGGTCAATGCGGATGTTGCTCCAGGTGCGAAAATAGTCGCGTAGTCTTCGACTCGTCAATCACTCCGGATTCGACGACTGCTTATCAATTCAGGTCACGGAGGAAGACGCCTCAGACAGTGTCTCTAAGATTTCCGGTCCTATGTTAGCGTTGGTGCTTCGGCAGAATAAAGACCTGAGTCTGGACAGAGAAATCGAGACACTTGACCTATGTTTTCTTGGCCGTCCACGGGGTCTTCGGCCGGTCACTGAAAAATTCGTTAAACATGCCTAAACCATCGCAGCTGTGACTTTTCAATCTAAAGAAGCAGTGGCTAGCAGTAGCTAACATCAACGTTCTCTCGGGCATCTGAACTTTAAACTACGTCGAGACACGTGAGCACAATGACTCGTCTCAGAAAGCCCATTTTAATTCGTCAGTCAGTCAATACCTTTCAATGACCGCTTATTTTTGCGAATTTAATTCATTTAAAATAATAAGTAAAAATTTTTTGTCCATTTCAATAAATTATTACGACTGCTCCCGCCTTCTCTGGTAAATACGCCTTAACCGCTGCAAAACTTTACTGCGAGTACTTCAAAAAAAAGCGTAAGTTATCCAGCAGCCAATTCTCTCAAGAACAGAAATTAGCTCGCAATGCTGCACCGCGCCAGTCCACTTGCTGCAACTGTTTCGTAAAGTCTGAATGTTACGGTCATATAGTTGGGTGGACGCACCGTTGTCCTTCCCCGTATAAGTTTGATGCCGGCCATTATTTATCAAACATCAAAAGTGAAGTTTTGCATCG